TGAATAGAAAGAATATAATTAACGCATGTCTTTGCTAAAACTAGAATATAAAGCACCTAAAGCTCCTCGTTAATATCGGTTTCGTTGTTCACGGCATCGTCCGGGGAATTCGTGCAGCCAGAGCCATTACAGTGACCACAAACAACGGAGCATTGCAATCCATGCTTTCGGCACGAGCATCTTAGTGTGTTACAACCACTTTTACAATTGCATCGCATAATCTGTAGCAGGCTATCGGCTGCTGGCGGAAGATCTGTCGTAACTGGAGTCATATGGCTGTCCTGATGCTTCCATCCCCATTCTTCGCCATCTATCTCTTGATCTTTCCACTTTTGAACTTGGCAGTATACTCTATAGCTGTGATATTTGGCAGATGCGGATGTGGGTGGGAGGTTTTTTGGCTCTATTTTGTTTTGTTTTTTTCAGAGAAAGTTTTTCTTTGTAACGAAGACATCGCAGATCATCGATGCTCTGCCCTTCCTTCCCATTATACAATAGGACGAGAGCATTCTCGCCCGCTTCTTGAATGGTTTCTTTAGTTGAACTATGGTCTTGAAATACTATTGCGTTTTCTTTAAACTGTTGTGAGCTCACAAACATCGTTAAACTTGAGCCTTTGCCGATGCCGTGGACTCTGGAGGTGGTGTCGCATCCAAGCACAGCATGTATAAAGAGGATGTTATGACATACGTCTCTTCCAAGGTCCAGTTTCACTTTCTTGATATTCCAGATACGTAGCGTTTTTTTGGTGTTACGTTTTGATTCTGGACTGAAGAGTAGACTGTAGGAATCAAACTCTGCATGGAAAAGAAGAAGAATTAGGAGGTCTATGTCATCTCCAACAAGTATGGTCGGTCTTGATCTAGCTGCCTTGACAGCTGTCTTCACAATAAGCAGATCAGCGTCAACATTTGCGTGATGCGTCTCGCACCCATGCTCTCTTAGACTGTAGCTTAGCATATCAAGGAACATCTGCTTGTTGTGTGTGTTTGAAAGGAAGAGATCTTTTTTGAAGTTGATCTTCATATCTTCAGTAAAGGTCACTGTTGGAGCTGTCTTTCCTGATGACCTTCTCGCTTGCGTCATTTGCTTGGTGGATGCCCCGTCTTGATATCCGTCAAATACAACGACCGCCTTTCCATACTTCTTTGTCACGTAATTACAATATGAAGCGCATACCTCTCTGTACGTTGCCGATCCTGGAGATGGCCAAGGAACTCTGTGCAGAAGCGCTCCACCGTCTAAAACGTATTGCCAATCTTTCTCGTTTGTTGTGGTTTCAACTTGGGTTTCGATAAGTAGGATAAGTACAAAGCTCGTAGCGGAAGAGAGATGTGAGATCTTGCTGTTGTGATGCCAAAAGTAAGCGCTGAAAGAGTAATTGTGGGTCGACTTGCACATGCTCGTCATTTATCTTCAGAGCAGATTTTGTTGCCAATGTAACAGCATGATTTTTTCTTTTAAATTGGTATTCTAAAGGCGAGATTTCATTCATGGAGGAAATAACCTTTTCTCCCACCGTCTTGGCCATGTCTGCGCTAACAGAACTTTCCCCATGAACGCCACTAATGATGTTTTTCAGATGTGCGTCTTGTGAAAAGGGGTTGTGCTCTTCAAGATCTTTAGGGTGTCCTTCTTATCTCTCTCTTTTCTTGCATGGGTAACATCCTTATTCTGTTCACCAGAGTTATAGTTAACCCCTGTGAACTCTTGCATTGCCCGACTGACTTCAGCAGAAGCAGGCATCGCTAGAAGCCACGTCAGCCGCTGTTGCTCGGACATACCACGCCCCCTCGTTAGTCCACCACTGGTCTTCAAACTATGCATCAAGACTTGTTCGATGATGAGGTCTGTGGAGAGGCCTGCCCAGTATCTTTCGCTTCGTCGGACAACGTGGAGCCCTGAAACAAAGCTTTTGTAGACTTCTGGCTTATCACGCTCAAGATTATCCATGCTTTGAAGATACAAGCTTGAACATTTGACGTATAGATTGTGCCCTGCCGCGGCAAGAAATGGAAGCATCTTGTTGATAGCGTGTAAGTGCAGGTGCCACTGGCCTAACCGCTCTGCTGTAATAAACGTCCTAAGAATGTCAACCATTTCCATATATTGTAGCCATAATGCTGATGTACGACTACGCTCTTTAAGTAACATCTGGGTTACTGTTAAACGGTGTGTAATATCTTTCCATAGTTGGCTAGAATTCACTTCTTCCCAGGGAATCTTTCTCTCAAGAAGTTTTTCAAAGAGGAAACGTGCTTCTGATAAAATGTCGGCCCCATTTTTAGCACTGTATTCGTTTTCTCTGCTGTCGGTGTAAAAAAGTAATGCAATGAGAATGAATTACTGTAAGCTCGCAGCTGTCTTAAGATTGGTCTTGGATACATACCTATAACATCTGTTCCAGATCGATTATCAGTCTCGGAGGCAACTTCTGTTTCATTATCTATATTCATCACTTGATTGTCTAAAAATCCAACGAACATAGTAAATAGGACGTTTCGTTTGTAGACGATTAAAACATATATTGAAAACATCTTGCATACGCATACCTTCTTTTTCTTTTAGTAACGTAACGTCGCACTCTGTTCCTGGGATTTCTGAGGAGTCATTGTCGTCAGCACCAGAAGTAATGATGTGCTCTGTAACATTAGACAATGCAATATTTTCACAAATGCATAACTACATGTATTCAAATGTCATTTATCATTATATTACCTTTACTAGCAAACTTAGGAATCTGGACACCAAGTGCTGAGGCGATGAGAAGGGTATTCAATGCAGCATCAACCAAGAGGTGGCCATGAACTGCGCGCGCTATCGCTTTACCACTGAGCATATGCACAACTGCATTTGATGCGTACGCAAGTTCCAAAAGGTCTTTCAATCCGGAGTCTGCCATCAGATAACCAATGTAGCCAAGGAAGCTCATCTGCATGTGAAACGCCCCAAGTCGAACTATGACATTGCTGATTGGACCTCCAGGTGGTTCGGTCTGAATCAAATTAAACGCTTTCCACCAAAGAGGCTGGTCAAATGTAACAATTGCACAACTAAGGCCGTGTTTCTGGGCATGCTCTGCGAAGAACTTTAGAGTTGAGTAGATACATGTTTCGTCGTTTGGATTATGATCTATCATTGGCAGAAAAAATACTGAAGATTTCTTTGGATGCTTTTCACCAACAATTGCAGCCTGCATCATTCCTGACCAGTTTGAGCGTGCATCACAGTCAAATAGCATGGACATCTTCCAAAGAAGGGTGATATTTAGACATGGGTCTGGAACCTCTCTGATAACAGTGTTCTTGTATAATAAAGTAAATGGACCTCTAGGTTCGGTTGGTGGAAACATCTGAACATGACCTGCAGCTGATATCTCTGCTGGATCTATTGAATTTCTCCTTGGGACTGGATGCGAATGACTTGTTCCTGGTGTAACAGACGCTACCATACCCATACCGTGAAAAGTACCCTTACCATCTAATGTTCTAATATTGTGATCAGAATTATCTGCTGAGTACTGCACAAACTCTCGGCTAAAAGATGGGATATCTGTGGCTTGATCTACTGATGCATTTTGGCTGAAGGTTTGTACTTCGTTGTAAGATGAGCAAAATCCTAAAGAATGCAGGGTATCTATCAAGAAGCGGGATGCATAATTGTGGTGAAGTTGGACGGCTAGTCCTATTTGAAGTGGCGCCATGAGTGCACGTGGACGCACTTCCTGCATTATGCTTTGACCTATGGATGCAAGTTTCACGCGGTTTTTCCCGGCAAAAATAATACTAAGAAATGTCTTTAGAGACTCTGTTAAGAATTCAACGTGATGTTCTGCATCATCTTCTATTTGTGGGTATGAAGCTCCTGTGGTTGTGACGTTCTTGATTTCTTGTTTGATGAGCCTTGCTGCTGTCTGGATAATTGCTTTCTTTTCATCATCCTGGCTCAATTTATTTTTTTGAGACTTATGGAATTCTTTCAAGACGGAGTCTGCTGTTCTTTTAAGTGCAACTACATTAGACAACCCATTGATTTCAGTTATGACTACGTCGTTGCCGAAGTGGTCAATCAGCTTTTCTTTCATGTGGGTGAAGCCATATGCACATTGGTTCTCATCAAGATATTCACTCATTTTGGTCTGTAAGTCTGATATAGTCAGAAGCAGTTCCTCGTCGTTTTCCTCTCGGTATTTGACAGTGGCAAGGAATGCTTCATACTTATCTTCATTTTGGGGCCGACCAGCAGTTTTTCTTTTCTTACTTGAGTTTTCGGGATTTGAGTATGCCTGCGGTATCTGTTTTCCTGTTCGGAAATTCGAACTGCAGGTTTTGTGATATACTGCGTCTGCAGCGGGTAGATCATGAACTTGTAGCACTCTACTGCGTACAGTAGCCGCCCAGGTGTCGCTCCTGTTTGAGCACACTTTGAGTACTTTATCTTTTGTTTCAACCGTTGTAACCTTAAACACGTCTCTTGGTCTACTTTTCTTGTCATCTGCTCCAAACGCTTCAGTCCCACAGTAGAAACAATCCGTTTGAAATGAAAACAAATTATCAGAACTTCGTGTCAGTGACCGTCGCTTTTGGGGGCTTATAGACTCTCCTTTTGCTTCTTTTAGGGCACGTTGAATATTCTGGGGTTTGCAAAAATCTTGACGACAAATTTTATGAACAAGTTGCCCTGGCTTAGTTGAAATTATATTATTTCTTTCTTTACTTGCGCGGTTAATACCCTCACTCCCTTTTTCGCCAATAAGAACAGCATCTAGTGAATCTTTTGTGACAGGTTTTTGGCAAATAGCACATGTTAAAGTATCCATAATCAGGTGAATTTCGAATTCACTGCAATTAATAAATTAAAGCGAGATTATTTTTTTCATACTCATAATCTAACATCATAAAACAAATATATCTAATACGAAATTATGTCAGTTCTCCTTACCTCGGTATCACGTCTCAATTTTCTTTTATTTTTTAGCCACGCCATTTACCAGAGATATAACTTCAGTATACAACGGGTTTTAGATAACGAGCACCTAAACAATCACATGTCTCATTGATTTACGCTGAGAAAACACCTTAAATTGTACAAAACAGCTATTATAATCAAAGACAATTATCTTACCTATGAAATTCTTCATGAACTAGCCATGTAAAGGTAAAGAGAGACCATTAATCTAGAATATTCTTAGTTTCCATCGAACAAGCGAAAAGCATGGAAAGTTCACGTCTACGAAAATGTCGACTTCAGAATGTAGACAAGACGTCTCGAAAATGTACATTTCAATCGAAAGACATTGTACTTTTTCATACATTATGTCGAAACATAAAATTAGATTTAAAGATACAAATGCTTTAAGATATATGTTGTATGTCATTTCTATAGAAGATGCTTAAAATAAATAAAGTTTTCTTTGCACACGTATATTACTGGGATCTCAAGCAGGAGGTCTCAATATTGGACAAAAAAATTCTCTATTTATTTCACAAAAACAACATAAATTACGTATTAAATAACAAAAACCCTTGGGCAGCATTTTTGATTGAATCTTTTTTTTTAATTTACGGCGAAAATAACGGTAAAACTCGGTATGTTTTTGTTCAGCCTCGTTCTCATGCTGGCGTTTCTTGTGTACAGAATCCGTTCAATAATCGTTATTTTTTACCATGTTCCGAAAGTAGGATTTCTTAGGACTTTTGATATGTTATAGAGCAGGGGGGGAGGTCGTCTCTAGGGCCAATCGCTGTACAGACCTATGTCCTAATATGACGTCACGCGCGATTTCGTGAAGAAGTCSTCRYGTSGAGAATGGCTTCAAAGTGTTTGATCTACAAAATATGCATGTCTTTGGAGAAAGTGAACTTCGAACTTAAGAAATAATGTAGAGGAAGTCTCTGAGTATTGTATTTTGGAAAAAAATATATGGAATTTATACTCTACTGTTAAATTTTATGGGAAAGAAGACAGTTAGTCCGAAACAAAATGGCGGAAATTTTCATTGCTCGGAAACATAAATGTGGTGATATCTTGAGATCTACGCAAGAATTCGTCACCAAAGGAGGAACATTTGTAAAGTAAAGTCGGAGGATTTTGGAATTGTATACATCAAGCTTGTCGGATCAGTGGAACTTCATATCTTTTGCTTTGAACACCGAGAGTGATGAACATGGAACGTAGAACGACCTGTATGTGTATTGAACTTGTGGTAAGTGTTTTGACATTTGTTGGCTAAGTTAAAACCTTAATGGCAGTTTTGAACGGACACTACTAATATTTATTGATTACTTGTGAATTTATTTCAACTAGATTTGAGTGTTTAAGCATAGTTGACTCAGAGAAAGGTCATACTGTAAGCTTGTTCCATTGCAGTTTGGCATAACTTGAGTACATTTTTTACACCAAGTTGATTATTTCTTTTTCTTTTATTTAAGAATTTTGCGGAGATCTAGAGACTTATCATAACTAGTAAAGACAAACGTATTCAACATGTCGTTTAGATCAATTTTTCTTCAACTGAAATTTGAAGTACATTGAGCTTACATTAAGTATGCATTAGAAGTGTATTATTTAATAAGACTTATAGTTATAGTATACATTATTTTGTGTATCCAGGCACACATTGCAATGAATGAATTGTCTGTTTTTATTGCAGCTCCTAACTTACGTCACATGGAAAACATTGGTCCTAAAAGTTTACAATATATTGCAAACACTAGTTCAGTGCNAAGCCACAAGAAATGTTTTTTGGGGTTTGTATAAGTTGAAAGCAAGCCTTACAAAATCTTCACATTTGCTACCATTTTTCATGTATTTAATGGTGAGACTTGAGTTCTGCTAGTTCTCTTTGCTTATTTTAACCTGCTCATCCCCTTTTTAGACATATAATCATTTCTCCATCTTGATTGATTTAAGACTGAAAAGGGCGTATTGCAGTGCAAAAAATACAAATTTGATAGAGGGTTCCCTTTCCTTCCTTTCCCTAACTGCGCTCCCTTTCCCAAGAAGGCGTAATCATACTTTACCTGTGAGCTACTACAATAGTTGTACGATTGATGCACATGTTATTTAGAGAAGCTTGAATATTCCTTTCTGTTTGTGTGTCAAGAGCTGATGTAGCCTGTTAAAAATACCAAGAATATATAATGTGGATGTAGCGAAAACTGCAAAAACGGCTAGGTTGTGGATTGAGGTTGTACTAAAAYAGATACATCATTACTAGATTCAYAAAGACAAATCCAGTGAGATAGAGAGGTATATCAGATTTGCTAAGCAGCTCAAATATTCTCCAGAATTTGTTTTGAATTTTGGATAATTTCMGAACAACTGACAGAACTTGCTGAAATATTCCAACAGTTTCATGGCCTGGAGATGGGAACCTAATTAAAATAGTGAACCACAATTATAGAGCTATTATAGGCCTGAGAAATATGATCTGGATGTGTGAAATCTGAACAATTATAAATCCATACTTGTGATGGTCAAGGCTAAACATGAGTGAAAWTTACGTGAACCCAACGAAAATTAATTAAAAAAAGTTAAATTAATTGAGGTATGAGATTCAAGGCAAATTCAAAGGATGATTTATGAATCAACATGGAATTCCGTCGCCATCCATGATTTACTTATAGAAACTCAACCACAGTTAGATTTTAATACCGACTGTGGAATACGTTTATTTGCAGTTAATACCCAATGCATAAAGACTTTTGTTGCAGAAAATTTGGCAGAAAAYGTMGTTAATTCTCTTTCAAGTTTTGATGCATATATGAATATAACCCTAGTTAATAGAGGAGACACTACCRTACGATATAAAATGCAATTAAGTTTATTTTGCAAAAAACTACATAAGTTGCTCTATGACAATAGTCAGAGCTTCATAAAAACTGAAACCAGCAACCGATTACTTTATACTCTACACTAGGATATGGCTTTTTTTAGGAAAGGACCAACTAGTAAAGAAAAAAGCATGGACTTGGAAAACCTCAGTTGTGATTGTTTAGCTTGGAAACCTTCATTCAAACAGACAGGGATATGTTCTATTTGGYATTTAGCCATTTCATAAATTGGTTACCTCATCCAAGAGAACCAAAGATGGATTTTTAAGAACTGTTCTAGCAATTGCAACTCTTTGTTTCTCACCACCACTAAGTTTCAAGCCACGTTCTCCAACTAGAGTATCATAGCCTGTAAATAAACAGTAGCCTTATAATCATTGCCATCATGACTTATCATTGCGAAAACAGGTCAACAGTATCACGAATATATGACATAGTACTATTCGCTAGAAACTTGACAATATAATCAGTACCATCTTAGGAAATTTTTTTAGATGCTTTTCTTTCTACCATGGCATTAAAAATTCAACTGAATCTCCATGACACTGCAAACATTTAATGTGTAGATTCTTATGCCAACACTAATATCTAGAGAAAGATTACCATGTGGGAATGAAAGGATCCTGCTATGAATATCTGCTGCCTGAGCTGCACTTTCGACATCCTCATCTGAACTTGTTAATTTTCCATAACGTATGTTAAACCTAAAAATGAAATAATTAATGGGCCATAAAACATTTTACTATGTAGTTTAAGCAGATGTTTATTATGTATCATTATCTGATTATGCTTGCATAATATCAGTTCTGCTAAAGGGTTTCCTGGATTACATGGAGAGGATCCAGAGAACTAATATAGCCGACATTACCTATAATCAAGCACRTCAATGTTTCAAGACAGAAGTGAGTTACAGTCGAATCTTTACTTACTGACGCTCCCGTAAGCGGACAGTTCTACTTACAGACAGCTTTTCAAAACCCCGTTTTTCCCCCTATACAAACACTGTATTTATACTTTCTATTTAGCGGAGTTTCTCGTAAGCGGACGTGGACACTTTTAGCGATTCCTTTTCTATTGTTTTTAATTTAATTTTTTTTAATTTCCTGTAAGCGGACACTTAAATTCAATATCTTTTAGTTGACTATTCTTACGATTAATAATAAGTTGTCAGTTTAACAAGCTTGTGAAATGATAATTAAGACTAACTATACATGGAGCTGAATTATGTGTTATGGCCTTCTTTCTTCAGTTTGGATTTCAGCCAATTTATCGAAAATTCATCATCATAATCACATGGCACTTCTACTCCATAGCCTCCTACTCTGTTGGTGCGCTTCCTGAACAGCACAAAAACGAATGATATTTTATTGCTCTACCATCTAACGTGGAGTTCCGCGGGCTCCCAGAGTTGTTTTGTTTTTGGTGTTTTTTGTTGTAATTTTTTGCAAGGCTGATCAAAAATGCCRTTTATAGTTTAGAGATACAAAAATGCGGCCATTCTCAAGCCTGACCTGTGCATGATTCTTGACCATTAAACAAGAATATTTGATGTTATTTAACCATTTTAAGATGCCTTTCTATTAGACGGACATTTCTACTTGCGGACACTTTTTTGTTTCCCAAGGGTGTCTGCTTACGGGAGATTCAACTGCATTGTGAAACGTAACTATAAATTCGATTATATTCATCTGGCTATCTAAATAATGGTTAGATAAATGCTTGCCTGATGTTATTGTTAAACAAAACTGTATCTTGAGGTACTACACCAATGGCATTTCTAAGAGACTTCTGAGTAACCTGCATATAAACATCAGTTCAGTTTGAAAAGAGTCAAGAACCATTCTTGCACCTCCATTTCAATTCATCTCATATAATATTTTCAAAATTGTAAGCTAACAAAAGAAATAGAGTTAAATTTTGTTGTCRTCTAACTATTTTTAGCTAAATAAGGGGTAGAGTAAACTCCCAATCATAGTAAACTTCTCCCTTTCTGACTTGTTGCATATATTAGCGTAAAAAAAGGAAGGAAGGAAGACACTAAATGGGAGAAGAAACTCAAAATTGTATGTACTTCTATTACCGCCATTACATTCCTTGAAATTACAGCCMTAGATAAAATTAGTCATGATTACCTTTGAAATGTCTTGATCATCAATTGAAATAACCCCTTCATCCACATCATAAAAACGGTACAACAATCGAATAATTGTACTCTTTCCTCCTCCTGAGTTCCCCACCAAGGCAACAGTCTGTCCAGGATAGACTGTGAAGGAGACGTTTTTCAAAACTGGCTTACTGTGAAAATGAATTGTTAGTATTGCTAGCAGGCAGGTTGTGTATAAAATACAGTACCAGTTCAGAGGTTCAGAGGTTCTTTTCAATTCCAAAATTGATCTCAAAACATAGCAAAAGTATGAACCTTTCAACCAATTTAAGGYATTATATAAAAAATCTATAATTTTGAAATAAATTGACAAAATTATTTTCGAGTTTTAACAATTATTTRGGTTCATTACATAGATTGAGATATTGACAATAAATATTCTTAGTGGGATTGTGTGCCAATTATAGTTTAAGAGCTAGAGATGTTACAGTAAGTTCCTTAAAATCATGTAYTTTGTGTGGCTTGGTTACCATAGCAACAAAAACTGCTAAAAGTGGTATCAAATGATTATTTTGTCTCAACAAACTTAATGGCATGTGAAATAATAAAATGGCTATGTCTTTTCCTGGGTATCATAGGTTTATCATTACATTGGTGATGATAGTTCCAGCGGTTTGTACAATAAATTATTTTGGCCAAACAGCATCTCAAAGTGTTTGTTGTAGTTAATTCCACCTTAAGTAATATTTCTGGGAAAATTAGGTTTATCTTCGAGCACTACTAGAGCCGGCACACCTAATCTGTGAAAGTTAATACAAATTATTAATAACTAATTCCTTTATTGTTTCCTGTTGTCTTATCAACAATATTTAGTAGCAATTAATTAAAAACTATTTGTTTTAGGGATTGAATACATCCACTTTTTAAAACACAAATTTAATGAACTAATAACCCAAATTGATGTCACTAGATGATTAGTATAGTTTACAACATAAGCGGCCGTGTTGTATGAGAATTACAATCTTGAGCCGCAGGCGAGAGATTGTAATTCCCATACAACACGGACGCAAATGTTGTAAACGACTTATAAAACTCCAACACAAATTAACATGAATTACAGTGAGATAAATGACGGAAAATGACAAATAAGGTAGCTGCTGAGTTTAGTCCCTATTAAGCATGCGCAATTTACTGCACCACAGAATATTTTGAATAATTATCCATCCCACATGGAAAGCAAGCCATCTGTTGCATAAGCGAGTTCTGTTACCCGTCATTGATTGCTTTAAAACCTAGTGAAGGTCTATGATGCGACACTAAAACTGAGACCTTTGCTAGTGTTGGGTTGTCTCAATGGTGACAACCGTGTTGTAAATCTGATATAACACTAGTGGTTGTATCAGATTTACAAGGTCAATCACCTGATTAAATGGTCAGCCCTTATTGGAGCAATAGCTTATGCATTATTAMTAAGTTTTATAAAAATGGTTTACTTTCTCTGATACGTGTACAAGCCTGCAGACCCGTATTATTTTTCAAAATAGCAAAGCTAGTAGTGCTGTACATATCAATGCTATTTTCACAATTAWTTTTTTTCCATAAACAATTAAAAAGGGTGCTGAAAATTAAGAACCTTAATTACCTTGTTTCATAGTGGAAAACTACATTTTCAAACTTGATCAAACCATTGTAAACATGTAGCTCTGTGGCATCAGGAGCATCTGTTACCTATCAACAAAAAACAAGAATAAGAACGAGAACAAGAAAGAGAACACAAAGAAGAACAAGAACACAAGGGAGATCAAGAACAAGAAACAAGAACACAAAGAAGTACAAGATCAAGAACAAGAACATAAAAACAAGAACAGGAGAAGAACAAGCGCACAAAGAAGAAAAAGAACAAGAATAGGAATAAGAATTTTATTACTTATCTTACTTATATGGTGCAAATTTGGTTGTGGATGATCAAATGCAGTTGTGTTACATACCATGTAATATCAGTGTGACAATATCAACCAAAGAAGGCTTCATTAAATATACRAACTTTAAAGTAGTTGCTTAAAAATGATTTGATGGCATTAAATTTATTGTATACAATGTAGGGAATAACCATATTCCCAGATGGCGTTCATGAAAACATTTTTGAGCGATTGTCCCAAAGTTCGTATATCTAATATAAGCCTCCCTTGACGTCATTATCATTTGCATATTGGAAGATTAAACCTTCAAAACTCAAAGACGCAACACTGAAATGCAGAAATATTTAACCATTCAATTCAGGMGCGGATCCAGGATTTTGAAGTCGGGGGTGAATTGTTAAAATAATGTAATAAAATGGAAGCCGACTGCTGAAGGCAGGAGCCCCTRGGAGGGGTTCGGGGTTCTAAATTTTGAAATTCAGACTCTCGGACATACGATTTGCAGCATTTTGTGGGCCTTTTAAGTAACTCTTAATAGAATAAATAAAAAAGAAACGGAATTTATTATGCAATGTTCACTTGAAACAAAGAATCTCTCATGTTTAAAACTAGTATTTATCAAGAACAATGAGAGTTTACCGTGTGTACATTGATTCCTAAAAAAAATATGCAATCATGAATATGCATTACCCACTTATGTCATCTACGCTATTTACTGACTCAAAAGTGATTGTTCCATCATCCTTCTTGGATGGAGTTCCATAAATGCTCGGCAAATGGTTGGTAGAATCAATCAGTCATTGGAGAAATCAAATAATATTATTTCAATTTTTTTAAGGATAAGAGAAAARAGAAAGAAGGGCTTAGAAAAATGGGGGGTGAAAATTCACCCTTTTCACCTCCCCTGGATCCGCGCCTGCAATTATTTACTTTAATAAATAGAATCAGTTCGCAGAGAAGAAATTATTTTGTCAGGCGTCATAGGCACTTTAAAACAATTTCTTAGTGTTTGTAGGAATAACAAACAAACCTCATGCTTCTGTGCAAACAAGTCAAACATATTTTCCATGTCAATAAAACTTTGCTGTATCATCCTTGAAACAAAAAAAATCAAAAAACTTACAGTTAGTTGAAAAGATTGTGAGCATCTAAAATATGTCTGGATTGCTCGAAGCATTTTTCAACTTCAYAATAATTTACAATCAATTCTTCTCTTTTTTTCCAAAAGGATGGATGACAGGTGTCTGGTGCCCATGGGGCCTAACAGACAAAATAGGTCGTCCAAAAGGTTAACAACCAACATTGCTCTTAAATTGTCAAAGTGCAATTGTCACAGGTTGAAAGGAACACTGTTTACTTAAGTGTAATTTCTCCKTGCAGTCACGAATGGTTAATTAATTTTAGTAGGTAATGGCAAAATAATTAGACAGCCAGCACCAGCAAGTAGGTGAAAAGCAAATTGGAAAGCAAGTGACAAAGCAACATATGATAGCAAAATGTACAAACCTGTAATATGTACCAAAATAATTGAGAGGAACATACAACTGAACCATGTAGGTGATGAACTGAACAAACTCCCCAACACTCAGCTGTCCAGTAGCCACCAATTGTCCACAATACATTGTCCCACTAAGTAACCCAAGGTTGATAATAATGCTCTGTGCAATGTTCAGTATTGATAAGGATCCAAGCACCTTCCATTCACCATCCTAATATAATATAATATATATAATATAATTGTTAATATAATATTCAAATTAGCAGTAACATTACACTGAGAATGAGGTTGACTCTACAAAATATGGTTGACTTAATGTTGTCAAGTGATGGGAAAATTAGTTTGTTGGATTTGGTTAGCATATACATATTAGTTTCCCTTAAATATCCAGGATTGGATGCCCACTAACTGTGGGGGACATAATAATAATAATAATAATAATAATAATTTATTGATTTATATTAATAATGCAGTTTCAATATAAATTATCAAATGCGCATTACAATAATACAATACAAATAAAATTATGATATATTACAAATATAAAAATATACATGTAACTACAAGAATAATCCATGTTGATCCGACAGTTTGAGATACATTGAAATGATTACAATTCCGAGGAAAGAAAACATTGTTTAGGAAACCCAAATTTTGGATTAAGAAACGAGTCTGAAGAGCGAATACAATATTTCGACTTTAATTCAAAGTCATAGTCATGTAATGGTGTTAATATTTACAAGTGCAGAAATTTATTAAAAAAAGCTGTAAGTCCCTTGAGGCCTTCAGTCCTTCATTAATAGATGGTTTCATGTTTTTGATGTAATAAGCCTCAAGGAACTCCAAGYATGACCAATTGTCGTTACAGTCGATGACCTCAAAGTTCTCGAGAACTGCATTTGAAATGTGGTCATGGAGGTCAACCGGAACTGTATTGACACTGTCAATGGCAGGTAGTCCCATGAGGCCTACAACATCGCTGAATAAAGTACAATCTATAAGATGTCTAAACATCGGCTGATCTGTGCGAGTCCCATGCTCATTTAATCTGAATTTAAGGCATCTGTCAGTCTTCCCTATGTAAGAATGTGAGCAACCTGGGCACGTAATTTTATAAATTATGTTAGATTTTTGGATGTCTGGTATGGGATCTTTGTTTGAGCAGTAGTTGTTGACTTTGGTGGTGTTATATCTAATTATAAATCTGACCTTGCTATTAAAAGATCTATTAAGCTTCTTAGTTAACTTATTAACCAGCTGCTYRCCTAACTTTCCAGCATAAGGCAATTTTATCCATACTCTAGGTGGTGTAGAAAGACTATCAATACATGTTCGTGATTTGCGAGGTTGYGAGACAGTCTCGCTCTTCAGACTCGTTTCTTAATCCAAAATTTGGGTTTCCTAAACAATGTTTTCTTTCCTCGCAATTGTAATCATTTCAATACAAGAATAATATAAAATAGAAATATAATAGAACGATTTCACATAACCGATTAAAAAATGCTAATGAGGATCAATTTATGCTAATACACAAAACACGATTTTACACGTGGAACAACGAGGATATTGATGAACACTTTACTTATTTGACGTACAGAAATGTTTTAAATAACAATTAAATCATAACAAACATTCAAAATCACACTCAAGATTTTTCTTCACTGCATCCTTTCTCCTCTCTTTAGGCGTCTTCTTGCATGCATATTTCATTTCTAACTCTTGTGTTGTATAGTCTCCTTCACGGTTACCTGCACCATATTGAAAGGTAGCCRTGCCTTTGCATCGAGGCGAGACAACCGTTGAGCGTGCAATGATAGAAACCTGTAAATAATTGTCTGTAGGTGTGATAAAAGGTTTCTATCATTGCACGCTCAACGGTCATCTCGCTTCGATGCAAAGGCACGGCTACCTTTCAAGATGGCGCAGGTAACCACGAAGGAGACTATTACCGTCTGGTTCTGGTCGTTCGGTCACAATTTCGACACCGGATTGATTTGCACTGTGCTGTGGTGTGTACTGGATCAGATATGGTCTTTTTGATTATCCCTTTCAGTCTCGTGATTAATTGYAAAACTGAACAACTCGATCTGGGAGGCCAGTGTTGACTATCATTGGCACAGCGCAACAACGATATCCCAGTCATTCCCCTTGCACTTTTGGTAGCATTTCTAAGACAAACATGCACTCAAGCTCCTGACGTTAACTCTCTTCAGCTTTTTAAAGAATGAATAAAACGACAACATAAGCAGCCAAAATTGCACAAATAAAACAWTTTTTTGCTTTTACAAACATTCCAACGTGCACACTAAGGAAAAACACTTCGTAAGGCGAAAAAAATCAAAACATTTTTTGTGTCTAGTTTTTGCAAACAAGGACAGCAATTTGATACAAGCTTTTCTCATCTTGTGATGTGTATTAGCATAAATTGATCCTCATTAGCATTTTTTATCTGGTTATGTGAAATCGTTGGGTCTAAAAGCTACTTGAAATAGATAAGTCTTCAGTTTTTTCTTGAAAGGCGCGAGCGAGTTAATGTCACGAAGATATTGTGGCAAACCATTCCAAAGTTTAGGAGCCGCCATGGCGCCAAGCGACACATAATATATACTTWCTCAYTATTGTAGAGCGATATTTTTACATAATTACAGCTTCATACAAAATGTCATGATCATTTTACCTGGTAGTCAAGAATTGCGTCATTCAATCGGTTAACTTCAAATTCTTCCCCAGCATAGTACTTCACCTTAGCAACAAAAAATAAGCGTGTTTAAAAATATRATGAGCACTAATTAATTAAATGTCCATTCCCTTTGTTTTTGCTATGGTTTACATTTTTTATATATTAGGCCAAACATTAATTTGCTACTACCGTTTCAAARTTAAGAAGTGAATCAACTGCCTTTGCTTTGGCATCATTGTCTTTAAGATTCATCACTCTTCTGTACTTTGTTCTCCATTCAGTAATAAGAATTGTTCCAACTAAAAATAAGTAATCTKTGTAAGTGTAACAATTGGGAATTATAACTATCACTGCTCACAGGTATTTGACTCACCAAGGTAGGCAGTCATTGTAATAAACACAATCAGTCSAAACCAGCCGTTGAAGGCAATAATAAAGTACACAATGGCAATGATAATATCAGCAATTGTAGGAAAAATATTGAAGAGAATGTAACTGTCAAAAGATAGATACATAATTAGAAAATACATTTTCAGAGAATTATGCCACAATGATGACAGCCTATTATTTTGAATATCATCTACATTCATTTCAATGAACTTTAATCACATGTTCTTTCATTTAATTGTGCATTTTTAATTAAAAGTCAGGGTTGGTAATTAAATGAATGAAATTCTTTTTCTCTACCTAGAACACTGTGTCTGGCAAGARATCTTTTTGCAGAATCACAATGAGATTGCTTGATTCTATTGTAGCTAAAGTTCACCACAAATATTTTAACAAATCTATTCATATTTTGTATAGATAAGGTATGATTAATTAACAATCGCTGTGTAATTGGCTTTTGAAAATATTTCGTTTTTCACAAGAAAATTGCTGAACAATGTCACATACTTGGCCTTTGTGTGAGAAATATTTGATGGCTAAAAATAGCACTCAAAATAGCCAAACTTTCTACCGAGCTTGTGTGAAATGTAAATAAATTAATAGTAATTTAAAAAAATTAAATTATTGCTTTCTAACTCTTTCTTATTTATTTCATTGATTTCAGACAATTTCATTTAAAAGGAAATTTTCTGGAACTCGAAGTGTTAACATATCTAGTGCTATATATGCAAATTAGTACCTTTAAAAAAAATCTATTTTTTTATGTGCAAGTACATGCATTTTGTTTGCAATGAAATTCGGAGCAATTACTAAGCAAGGCATGAGCTTTACAAAGAAATAAAAATCACTGTGATGTGCTTAGGAATGACTTATTCTAGTCACAATTTTCAAAGCTTATAAACATCTTATCAACATTAATTGTTATATCGGTAAATTATTTTCACTGTTTTCKCGCTCTCTTATTGGACGATTCRRTGTCACGTGTCCGGAGCTAAAATCAACTGTTGACTGATCGGTCAACAGTTTGGCGATTGTTGACMGCTTGGCCATTGGCGGGAAAAGTCCGCCTCGCATCGAGTAACAGTTTGTAAAGGCGGGAATTRTTTTTTGCTGCTTTCGAGTGTTYACAAAATGGAGCCGGCATCAAAAAGATTTTCAAATCTTAGTCAAGAAATAGACGAAATGTCTGTCAACAAAGACTCGGAAAACACTAACAAAGCTACAAAGCTACAAAGAATTCTGCAGAGAAACCAAGAGAGAAACGGTGAATTTGGACAAATGTCACGTTAAATTTCTATTCAGGAACTCATTGACTGTTTCATTCATAAAGTTTTGCTAGTTTTTTGGCATTTGTATATTTATATTATTTTTATTTTCAAGCCAATGCAGTAATCTAAACGCTCAACATCTTGCTATTTTGTCGCGACGTTCACAGTTATTATATTCACAATTATAAAGTATTATTGGAAATCATCTTGCAATGTGTTTTGATTTACTTTTACTCACATAATTTACCAATATAACAAAACACTTTTAAGTGTTTAAAATGACTGTTCCCTCGGGAAACGGTTAGTTTTTGTTTCCCTCGAATCTCAATGTTTCAACAACATTGAGATTCTCGGGAAACAAAACTAACTGTTTCCCTTGGGAACAGTCATTAAGTGTATAATGTATTTTATTAAAATACAAAGGGTTAAGCTTATTTTCTTTGAAAATTTTAGGCATGAATGAAAATGAATTTCGATTGTTTAAAAAAATTGGCGTTTCAACTGATTATTATCACCAGAAGTATTCATTTCTATGCAACCGAGAGTGATTTGCCCAGATTTGCAGTCTGTAACTGTTGCTCATTTTTCCCGCTTTTTTCAAGGAAATCATGATAAATAACTAGCAAACATGATTATTTAGACCAGAAACAAATGATTGAAGGCAATTTTCGTCCATTTTGCGAAAGTTTCAAAAACACCCAAAAATCGTCACACCATTTTCACATACGGCCCTTCAATTGCTTCATTGATATATTTTAATAATATTAATTTCAAACACCAATATCTCACTAAATGAAATTATGTCCCAACTGTGATTCATTGAAAAGTATGTTTTTGAAATGTACAATGGAAA